TCCCTTCCTGCTCTGCAGACACGGGCTAGCACTGCAAGAGAAGGGCAGAGATCTGCAGCCACCTCAGACCTCGGGGCATCCACGCCCCAGGTGCGGGGAGCAGGTTTGGTCCCCCCAGAGCTTCCGAGGGATCCATTGCAGAGGTCTCTCCCCATCTCACTGCACATCCAGCCCAAAACCCCCATCCCTCTTCAGGGCTGGGGCTCGCTGGGAACAAGAACTGTTCCTCACCTCTGCCAAACTCAGGAAGGCTGGGAGAGCTCCCAAAACTTTCTGTGATGCCTGAATTGCTCATGCAAGGGAGGAGTCCTTCTCCCACACTGGAACACCCCGGTTGCCAGTTCCAGCCCCTCCACATCTCTCCTATGACCAGTGGGGGCTATCCACAGCCTCCAAGTCCTGGCTGGGATGGCTTTCCCAGGATTTCCCTCCTTTCCATGGACTGTGCCCCTGCCACCTTCCTGTTTTCCCCCCAAAGTGCAGTTCAATTCAATTCAGTTCAATTCAATTCAAGTCATCTCCTACTGCCTTCCCTGCTGGGTGTGAGCTGGGGCCAGCAGCCACAAAGCTAGGAAACTCATCTGGATTCCTGCTTCTCCTCACCAGCCCTTCCAGAGTTCATTTTTAACTGGAGAAAAAAGACCATGTTCCTCCTCCTTCCTGCATTGCCAGACAGGTGCTTTCTCAAGGGACAGCTGTGAAATCCAGCCAGGCAAGACAAAGAGCTCCAGGAGGGTGTAACGGGGCTGAGCTCAAGCTGTCACTTAGTGGACAGGCCTGAAAGCATCCCTGTCACCTTGGCAGGTACAGCGCTGATGGGGCTGTCTCTGGCCTCACCGGGAGTTGGATGTGGACAGGACACAGGCTGCAGTGCAGGGTGGTGGCTGCAGGAGGGAGCAGCAGTGCCCTGGAGATGCTGTAGGTCCCAGAACAAACCTGGGCTTTCCCTGTGTGCTGGTAGCACAGAGGAAACAGCCCCAAAATGGAAGATCCTGACATGTTCCCAATGCTTCCTTGGGGATTGTCCCAACAGCCTCAAGGCTGTCTCTTCTACTCTCCCAGGCTGCACTTGGCATCTCCTCTGCAAAAAAAAAAAAAAATAGAGAAAGAAATCAACATCCTTTGCTCCAGTAAGACCCAAAATAGGAGCTGTTTCCTCCCCACTGGAAATTCCCAGCTCCCCACTGAGGACTGGACTACTCCAGGCTGCTCAGCAGCTGGATACCCTGAGGTTCTGCCCAAGTTCCCTGTGCCAGGCTCCCTTCTGGGGAGGGACAGTGGCCCCAAGAAAGGATTGCTCCTGTTAAGATCCCCAGTTCAAGGACCTTCCCTCCCTAGGACAGGACTTGACCATGCTCCTGCTGACTGTCAGAGTCCCCATCCTGGTGCTGGCCACTTCCAAACTGCCCAAGGATATTTAGTTTGTCTCTCCAGGATAACACCACCTGGAATTCTATTCCAATTTAAAAGCTTTTCCCACCTTGAGGGAAAAAAATGGGTAGGAGTATGAATGCCCCCAGGGGAAAGCCCTATCACTGTGTCCATCTCATCCCTATGCACCCTTCCCACCTCCCAGTCCCTGCAGAAGACTGGCTGAGCTGGTCACCACTGGTGTGAGCATATTTAGCAGAACAAGCCTCCAGCTTTCTCCTAGTCCTCTTGCTTCCCTATTTATATCTGACTTGATGCATTTTTTCAGCTTTCATGTTCTTCTGGGAGACCTCCAACTCCTCAGCATCACTTTTCCTTGTACTCCCCACCCCGTGTGAGGGGTTTACAGGATTGCCCTATTTCCTCTTTGCTCCAGGTTTTACTCAGACAATTTATTTTTATCTGGGATTGGCCTGGTTTGTTGTTTTTTTGGGCTTTTTTGAGACACATTTCCTGATTTTCAGAGCAGATCCAGAGTAGCACCTTTTCCTGGTAGTTCTCAGACTGTTTCTGAGGGAATGGGACCATATACTGTATTCAGAAGTTTTATCCTTATGTTCTATTCCCTGATAACTTCAATCCAGCCCCAGTTAAAGTGTCCTCTTATTACAGCCTCCCCCAAAATCCATGAGTAGCTGGTTTAAGTGTCTGGTGTTGATGTGGGAGCACATTTAGGTTTTCCCTTGCTCTGTTGTCCAGGCAAAGGAACATGGAGTCATAGAATTCCAGAATGGTTTGGGTCGGAAGGGACATTTAAACACCATCTCATGGGCAGGGACACCTTTCACTAGACCAGGGTGCTCAGAGTCCCATCCATCCTAGCCCTGAATGTTCCCAGGGATGGAGCATCCATCTGCACCTCTGTGGGCAAGCTGTGCCAGTGTTCCACCACCTTCATACTGAAAAAATGCTACCTTGTATCTAATCTAAATCAACGCTCTTTCAGTCACACACTTAGTGCTCTGTTGGCACTACAGGTCAGATTTGCCTCCTATATTTATTGCAGTTACACTGTTTGTTTTCCTGCTGGCACTTTCAGAGATGCATTTCCCACCTCAGTCCCTCCATGCCCTCTCCCTCAGCCACCTGCTGCTGGTTTTAATCCTCTTTGAAGGGTTGCTTCAATCACTGCAGTAATCAGTGGGTGTCCCTTTCATCTCAAGATGTGCTTCAAATGAAATCACAGCTAAATGAGCTCTCTCTGACTCACCATTTCATCCCCACCCTAAGATTCCAGCTCTCCAGGTGTCCCCTGGGCCTCATCCCTGGGAATGGTGGGGTTTTCCTGGGCCCCAGTGTCTGGATGTAGCTGCCAGGTCACCTCTGATGCTCACACAGCGTGGCACCAGCAGCCTCTGCACCAAAGTTGGATCATCTCTCCAGAGGTGTGTGTGAAGCCAGGGATCATCAGGACATCCTCATTGGCTCCCTCATGGCACACAAAGCCTCTGTCTCCAGGCACTGCTTCCCCCAGAAAGCCTGACCTGCTGCCTAACCCCAGTGATGAGCAAACTGGGCCATTTTCTCCCAGCATTTACAAGCTGCCTTTGGCTCGTCTTCACTTGCTCAGCAAACGCCCCCAAACAGGTCAGCACTTTCTTCACAGCAAAGCTATGCAAGGAATTTCTCTCCTAAGGCAGCTGGACCCTTTCCAAAGAAGGAGAGCTGCCAGATTCCCACTCCCCAGCCCCCAGCAGTGAAACAAGGTGCAAATTTGGCCCCTGGAGGCTTTCTGTTTGCTTCCACTTCTGCCCTTGCTGTCTGCTGGAGGTGGGGAGGAAGGAGTCCTCTCCCATGCCAGAGTTGAGTGTTCCAGGGAAAGGGCTGGTTCTGTCCCAGAGAGAATTCGAGGTGTCAGAGCTCTCCCCAGATGCAGCAGGTGGAAGACACAGGTGTGGGTTTGCAGCTCCCTGTACTCCCCTCACAGTGCCTGCTGGGCAGTGGCCACCTCTCTGCCCCTGATGTGCTCCACAGGGCTGGGGACTCTTAGGCAGTTGCCTCCTGTGATTTATTTTTTTTCATCTCCAATTGCTTCTCCATACTTCCTGCTGTTTACGAGCATGGCTGTTGCTGAAGGAAGGAGGCTGCTGATCTGGGCTGTGGGTTCACAAACACAAAAATTTCTCTGCCTCTCACTCCCCCTCCCCAAGGCCTCTGCAGAAGGTGCAGCTCCCCCACCCCTGCCTGGCTGCAAGTTCCTAGCAGAAATCGGCTTTCTGGCATGTCACCCCAGCAGCACAGCTGGACACTCATCTGCTTCATTTCTCTGGCTACAATTCACTGATAGGAAAGTTGGGGCTTTTCTCTGCTGCCCATCTGCTGGGAAGGGCAAAGAGCATTTCCAGGGGATGAGACCCCTGTGCACACTCACATTCTAAGTGCCAAGGACCCCTGAAAGCCAAGCGCCCAGGAGAGCACGAGCAAGCCAGCCTTGGGGAGCCAATGACCCTTTCCAAAGCTCAGTGACCCAGGTGCTCTTGGCATTTCACAATCCCAAGCAAAAGTACCGAGTGTTGGGGCTACTCTGGGCTCTAGCAGAACCTCTTTAGAAACACTAAAGCCTGGCTCTTCGCCCTTTCCTGAACCAGCAGGTCACCCCCAAAAAATCCATAAACTCCTGTCCACACAGGAGAAAGTTGCAGGGAACTGATCACCACCATTCAGCTCCCCTCAGCCCGTCCTGAGCAGCAGCCCCAAGCAGAGTTGTGACTCCAGGCACTCATTGCTCCCTGCTCAAACCCTGGGCTGCCCCAAGTGCTGGGTCCCTGAGGGCACTAAGAGGTCTCACCTGGGGTACCCACACACCCTTCAGTCATAGCCCCAGGCACCTGAGCTGAGCCCTGGCTGAGCTCGGGGAGGGTGTGTTTATTGATGCTTCTGGCTCCCGGTGGACCTTGCACCTGTGTAACAGGTAGCTTATCTCAGCTGCTGCTTCCTGGTGGATCCTCACACTGCTGTGGTAGCCAGCTTTTCCCTGTCTCCCAAAGGGTGCTGAGCGAAGGAACTCTGGCACCTCCAAGAGCGCTTATTTCCTGCCAGGAAAGAGGCACCTTATTTAAGAGGGCCCCATTTCCTGCCAGGGACCCTGCCCAGCTGGCTGCACCCTCCCTGGGGAGGAGGTCGACTGGGCACCTTGGCCTCCTAGTCATCGTACGTGCCACCCAGGGCACTGCAGTGGGATAGCGGCTCCTGGGAATTGTCCTCATCCATCCTTCGGTGGGATTGCCCTGCCCTCTGCCGATCTCCCAGCACATGGGCAGGACACCGACGGCAGAATGTTTGTGGCCATCTCCAAGGACGAGTTTCTCAGGGATCTTCACACAGACAACCATGTTTGCATAGTCTGAAGTCAGGACTGGATCCAGCGGATGCCCCCCTTGTTTGAAAGGCAGCCTAAGCTGTAAAACAGGAGTTTCCCCCCACGGAACAGAGGGCGGGATCATTTCCCTGCTGCCTGACCATTAATGAGATGTACCTGTAGTGCCGTCGGTGCTCACCTGGAGCCAGCACTGAGGCACACCGGGGAGCGCCCATTCGTGGTTTAAAAGGAGAGGAAAAATACTCATAGCAAAGCTTTCTGTGAATTTTAGTAAGACTGAAAAGCCAGGGTGTGTTGCTGGAGAGGCAGTGGCCATGAACATGAGTTTCTTGATGGAGAGATCATGTTCATTCAAAGGAAGGTGGATTGTGGGGATGTGTTGTTTTGAGGATGGCCCTGAACACAGACCCCAACAATCCGAGCCTGTGCATCCCTGGCAGCACTGTCCAAGCTCTCCTGGAGCTCTGGCAGCCTTGGGGCCGTGCCCATTGCATGGGGAGCCTGTGCAGCGGCCCAGCACCCTCTGGGGGAAGAACCTTTTCCTGATATCCAGCCTCAACCTCCCCTGGCTCAGCTCCAGGCATTCACTTGGATGCTGCCACTGGTCACAGAGAGCAGAGATGGGAGCTGTCTCTCCACTGTTCCTTATGGGGAGAGGATTCAGACCCCGTTGAGGTTTCCCCTCAGTCTCCTCCTTCAGGGTTTTCTTTTAATCCCAAAGGGTCAGACTGCAACCTCCACACAGGCCTCTCATCCTACAGGAGAAAGAGACAAAGATACCTCAATCAACAACAAGGGCAAATGAGAAGGCAGTAATAACCAACACTAGATCTGCCTAGTCATAGGCACAGCACCCAAGATGGGCTGGCCTGTGGGCAATCTCAGTGGCAGTGGATCGTTTTCATTGCTTGGTACAGGATCATCACCCTTTGGAATCTGTTAAGGCAGAACACTGATTTTGAGGCTCCTGTATGTCCCCCAATGGTTATGGAGGGTAAGAAAACTCTGCCAGTCATGTGTCCCAGTGGGGTCAGGATCCTGTAGAGCTCCTTCAGAGCTGCCCCCAGAGCAGGGCAGGTTGGATGGGCTGGGGGAGGCCCCAGGGCATGTGGCAATGGGTGCCCTTTGTGACGGTGGGTGCCATAGAAAGGAATCTGGCCATGTGTCACAGGGCCCTTTGTAACACAATCACGATACAGCTGCTGCTGGCCAGTGTCCAGAGGAGGCAACAGCACAGGCTGGTGTTGCACAGAGGCCCTGTGCAGCCACCTTGTTCCTGTTGTCCCCAGGCTTTAACCATTTTTTTTCTCATGTGCCCTTAGGGACAGATCTTGGTGGGACAAGAGAGGGACCTTCCAGCATGGCCTGGAGAAGGAGGATGCAAACCCTGACATCACGCGGCCAACAGTGATAATCACACCCACTCACAGCATGGCAAAGACAAAGGCTTCTGCTCCCAACCTGGATTTTTTTGGCGAGAGAGTTGTTTCCCACCCAAATGAAGTGAGCAGCCTGTGGCCAGGGCTGGATCCCCCCAGGAATTGTGTGGCTCCTCAAGCCAGGTCCGCTGGGCCCCCCCCAGCCTTTGAAGACATGAGTGTGGTGGGAAGGGAAGCACTTCTCAGAGGAAGCCGGGGAAGCTGCTGTTCTGGCAGCTCTCCAGCTTTCCCTGTGCCTCTTCCAGGTGCCAGATTTTGTGAGGAACATGCACCAGAGACTTGTGTCTGGTGCACCTCCAGATGACAGGATGTTCATGGACATCCTGAGGCTGGCTGAGGCACACCCTGCTGATGTTGCAGTCACTCTCCTACGCTGTGCCCCATCATGTGACAGGTATGGGAGCCACCTTCCTTGTGGCCTCAGGGCTCACTGGCCCTTAGGGCCCATCACCCTGTACAGCCAGTCCAGTGTGGTCTGACAGACTGGTCAGACAGAGTTCCAGGACACACCAGGCCCTCTGTTTCACAGCCATGGCATGTCAACTACCCAGCCTGCTGCCAATGCTCCCTCCTTGCACCCCAGGGCACCAGGGCTCTGTCATCTGGGTTCCCACAGCTGCCCAGGCCAAGGTGCTGTGGCTGAAATGCTCCTGACACACAGCTCTGCTCCCACAGAGCTGCTACAATCATGTGGAGGACCATAGCTTCATCAGGAACGGCAGTGGACAAGGTGCTGCCAACACTGCTCTGTGTGCTGGAGGACTGGCCACTGCACAGAATGTCCACCTCTGATGGGGACAAAACAAGAGTCTTTGCCCTTGCTGTGAGTTTCTGGAATTGCCCTTTGCTCACCCCAAGGCTGCCTCTCCAACAACCCTGCAGCCTCCTTCCCCCACTGCATCTCCCTGCCTCAGGCGCTGGGCTGAAACCTGGCCTAGGGGCAGCTTCAGGGGCACCAGACGTGGAGCTCCCCAAGGCTTTCCCCTGACCTCTCCCTGCCACACTCAGGCCCTGCCACCCGGACACCTCGGCACTGAGCGCTGTCTCTGGGTGCTTTGTCCTCTGCAGGCAACCAAGGTGGTTTGGGAGATCCTCCGCCTGCCCTGGTGCCCAGCACCATTTATGGAATATTCCCCCCGCCTCCTTGTGGCTCTGCTCTTCCAAGTTTTTGTCAGCACATTAGATATGCCACAGGAGGTTGATACCTTCTGGAAGGAATGCCAGGAGCAACACGGCCTTGCCATCAGCCCCAACAGGTGCTCCATCCCACTCTTCCTGTCCCTGCCATGTCCCCAGGGCAGGAGACAGTGCTCGCAGTGTGACCTGGGCTTTGCTGTGCACTCAGGTTTGCAGTGCAGACTCTGAAGGCACTGTTCCGCCATCTGCGGTGCCTGGATTTACTGGTGGCAATGGAACGCAAGCGTGGCTGGGACACGCTGCTCTGCGCTGACACCCACCATCATGCTGTGGGTCTGCTGGCCAGGTGAGATCCCCTTCTCCCCATTGCCTCTGGCATTTGTGCCCTGTGCCCAGGGTGCTCCACACAGTCCCCATTGTCGTGGACCAGAGGGCCTGGTCACCAAGGGACAGCCAAGGAGACTGAAAAAGGCTGGGAGAGGAGGGTGCCCGCACGGCTACCTCCCAAAGGGCCCAGGTCCCCTTGCAGGGTGGTGGTTGGGAAAGAGAACTGTGTGAGTCAGTCCTGGGAGAGGTTTGCTCCCACTGGCTCAGGGTCTTGGTGCCTTTCTCTACCTTCCAGGGAGATGCACCGTACCTCGAACCCCTTGTGTTCCTGCATTGCACTCCGCCTGCTGGGGCTGCTCAGCACACAGGAGGCACACTGGGATCTGCCTGCCCTGGCATTCCTTGTGGAGGTGAGCCCCATGGCCAGAACTGCCTTGCTGAGCTGCCTGCTACCTCTTTGTCCTTGCATAGCTGCAGCTGCCTGGGACGGTGCCCATGCCCTGTGCTGCCACCTGGGCCCAGCCCCGTGTTGGTTCTGGGCTCCTGCTAGCTGGCTCTCCTGTCAGTGCCCTGTGCCTTTCAGGTCCTGGAGTGCCATGAGATGAGGGAATGGAGTGACAGTGCCCTGGAGATCATTTCAAGGTGCCTGCAGTGCAAATCCAGGGAAAAACGTCGCTTGGCACTCAGAGGCCTTGTGGTTCTCAGCAAAGATCTCTCAGTGGTGAGAAGGGGGCAGCAGCTGAAGCTGTGTGGGCAGTGTGGGGCTGGAGAACACAGTTGCGTGGGTTTGGCTGGGCTTCGGGCACCGAGGCAGCTGCTGCCAGCTCTCCTGCCTCCTGGTTCAGCTGCCCCAGTGCTTTGGGACAGGCCTTTGGCCTCTTGGCCCTGCAGCAGCAGGGAGGGGTTGCAGCTCCAGAGTGGCATTGGTGGTACTGCCATTCATAAATGACACAGCACTTGAACAAATGCTAAATAAGTTTGCTGATGATACTACATTGGGAGGAGCTGTTGACTCCCTCAAGGGCAGAGGCCCTGTAGAGACAAATTTGAAGGCTGGGCAATGACCAATCATATGAATTTGAACAAGGGCAGGTGCCAGACACTGCACCTGGCATGGACAGCCTGGCTATGTGTCTGGAGCAGGGAACAAGATCGGAGAGCTGTGCTGTGGAAAGGAACCTGTGGTGATCCTGTGATGGCAAGTGGGAGTCAACAGTGTCCTTGCAGCCAGGAGGGACATCTGGGATGCATCAGGCACAGAATCACCATCTGGGCAAGGGATGGCAATGTCCTGTTCTGCTCTGGGCTGGTGTGGCCTCTCCTCAAGTGCTGTGTGCAGTTTTGGGCACCATAATGTAAAAAATACCATGAAACTATTAGAGATTGTCTAAAGGAGGATATAAAAATAATGAAGGGTCTAGAGGGGAAGTCACAGGAGGAGTGGCTGAGGGCACTCGTTCTGCCTGGAGGAGACATGGGGAGACCTCATTGTCATCTGCAGCTTCCTTGCAAGGGAAGTGGAGGGCAGCACCAATCTCTGCTCTCTGGTGACCAGTGACAGCACTTGAGGGAACAGCTGGAGCTGTGTCAGGAGAGATTTAGTTTGGATATTAGACAAACATTCTTTCCCCAGAGGGTACTGGGGCACTGCCTAGGCTCTCAGGGAATGGGCACAGCCCCAAGGCTACCAAAGCTCAGGAAGTGTTTGGGCAACACTCAGGGATGCACAGGCTGGAATTGTTGGGGTGTCTGTGCAGGGACAAGGGTTGGACTGGATGATCCTTGTGGGTCCCTTCCAGCTCAGGATATGCCATGATTCTACAGTTCATGGCTTCACAGTGCAGCATTGTGTCCCACACAGGCCGAAGGCATCCGGAGTATGACACCAAGTCTCATGGCCCTACTGCAGGATGCAGATGGAGAGGTGGTTGCACTGATCCTCTCTGTATTCCTAAATGAACTGCAGAACAGAGCCACCCTAATATCCAGTCCCACTGCCCTGCAGCTGGCTGGGGCACTCCGGCCACTCTTTGACAAGGTAAGGCTTTGTGGCCACGGCCACTGGGTGCTGCCCAGACACTTTGTGTCCTGCGGATTTGCAGGCCTACGCCCAGGTAGGCCTGGAGAAACGATTGCTGGTTCTTTTTTTTTCCAACAGGACAACAGCCATGTGCAGCTGCTCTCCATTCGCCTCTTCCAAGAGGTGATGGAGCTGGTAATGGAAGAGGGAAAAAAACCCCTGAAGAAACATGTGAGCAAGAGCCTTCTCCCACTCTTCTTCCACTGCCACGATGAGAACCAGCAGGTGGCTGAGGTGAGGACTCCCGGGCTGCTGCTGTCACCCGGGGAGGGGGCTCGGCTGCCTCCTGCAGGCCTGGCACCTTGCCGGCTGCAGCCTCCTGCAGGCCTCGGCACACCAATGCGGGTCCTGTGCCTTGGCTTGTGGAGCCATCTGCGGGTCTCTGCTGCTCTCCAGGCCGCTTGGAAAACACTGCTTTGTGCGACCAAGTTCATGAAGAGGAGGCGATTGAAGCAGCTGGTGAGGAAGGGACAGCTGTGGAAGTTCGCTGAGGTCCTGGTAAGGACGGCCTGGAAGGCCCAGCCTCAGCCTGGAGAAGCCCCCTGTCCCCTGAGCTCGGTGCATGGGGCTGGCAGCTGGG